TTTTGGATTTTTAGTGAATGTGAAGTACACTAACTAATGTGTATGAATATGGGTAGACCTAATAAACGTGTTTCTCATATGAGACAGCGCCACTCTTGTTCTCAATATATTTTGTCGAAAACGTTCATCACACTGTCTGTCTGTCGTCTGCGAATATCTTCTGTTCTGATTTGTTGAGTTGCGGCTCTTGTTGCAGTTTGTTCTTCTGACTTTTGAGCTTTTAGAACGCTGGGGTCGTGTATTTTTGCTATACGCATTGTTACGGTTAGATTTTTTCGACGGCATTATACTGAAATTGAAATTCTATTTCATATGATATCTCATTTAAATTTGACACTCATCTACCGGGTGCCTTCGCATGATATCTAAAACCCATGAACATTTTGTATGTTTTAAGAATTATATGGATTTCTCATGGATGCCATTGTCAGAATTGGACTAAATTGAAATGGGACCACATGGGAATCATCAGCTTTCAAATACAAAAGGAATCGGTTATCGTGATATAAAGTTATTCGTTCATTTGCCTTGCACATACTTAATACAAATTTAAGACTTATGCTGTTTTCTCATGGATGCCATTGTCAGAACTGGACTAAATTTATATGGGACCATTCTAGAAGCACCAGCTTTCAAATGGTATAAGAACCATTCACCCAGTCGAGTGTACCGAGGTAACAAACATAAAAAAAAAAAAAAATACAGACGAATTGATAACCTCCTCTTTTTTGAAATTGGTTAAAAATAAATATAATTAAAAATTAAAGGTGAAGAATCACTGACCCGTTGGAGGAAAATGTAGTAGCCAGTCCGGCAAGCTATGCCCCTACTCACAGCAGTGGGGATCATTGATTCTGCCGGAGGTAGCTGAAAATAGAAGATTTCAGTGAGGGAAGAGAGATCACTTGAGATTAAAAAGTAAAAAGTATAATACTCGAAAAGGATTGTGCATGGCGTAATCACTAGTACATCTGTTAAGTAGAAGAGGCAGAAAGTTCCTTATTGGCCTGGAAGGATCAGAAAAATTGATACGACCTAAAGGCATTGGAACGTACACCAAGAACTATCCTACGGTGAGCTAAAGAAGGCAGTTTATTAAGGAGAAGTATACTGGAGTAGGATGGTAATTGCAGATTAGGATCCCAGACGATCCCTCGAAGGATCCCACGAAGAGCAAAAAGAAGAAATTGTTTCTGGACTGACTCAATGCGATCCTAATACAATTTATACTGAGGATAAAGACGATCTTTATACGAAAAAATTAGCTTCACATCATCGGCATACATTAGTATACGGGAGTGCAGCAGGATAGACGGAAGGTCATTAATAAATAGACTGAATAATAAAGGGGTCAAGATGACTACCCTGAGGTACACCAGAAGTTACGAGAACAGGTTTAGAAATATTCGACCTGAGTAGTACCTTCTGTAACCTATTTTTTAAGTACGAGGAAATCCAATTCAAAAAGTTTGAAGGAAATCCCATACAAGTTAGCTTCAAGAGGAGGAGGTCGTGATTCGCAGAATCAAATGCTTTGCTCAAGTCAGCATATATATAACATCAGCTTGCATCTTTGCTAAGAATGCATCATTTATCAAAGATGTAAATTCAAGCAGAAGAGTCATTGCTGACCGATTTTTAAAAAATCCATGCTTAGTAGGGGAGATTATAGACTTACAATGATCCTGTAAAGAGGACGTAATTAGGTTAGGAATGCCTCTATAGTTGGAAATGTCTGACTTACAGCCCTTTTTGTGGAGTGGTATAATGAACGATTCTATCTAAGAAGCAGGAAAGATTTCGTTCTCAAGGGACAGATTAAAAAGCTTAAGCAACGGTTTGCAGAGGGAAGTACTACACTCTTTCAACAACTAGGAATGTTGTCAGGCCCAGGAGAGAATGAAGCTTTTACAGATTGTATATTAGTTAAATACAAGAATCTGTAATTATTGGAGCAAATATAGAATTTGAAGGCATAATGCGGAAGGGGTAAGAATTACCGTTAAAAGACTCAGAGGAGTACGTCGACTGGAAAAAATTTGCAAATAATTCAGCACTTTCAGAATCATTACAAGAGTTGTTATTGGCAAGGAAAAATGACGATGGCAAAGTCGAAGATTTTAACTTAGTTACGAAGTTAAAGAACTTTTTAGGGTCATGTTTAAATTGGAGCTTGCAACGCTCAAGATAATTCGTGTAACACAAGGAGTTTAAAAGAAGAAAATTAGATTTTGCAATACAATATTTAGAGAAGTCAACACCTAAACCCGACTGATTGAATTTCAAACATCTGGATTTTATGTTTTTTAGGTTAGAAAGTCTACGCGTAAACCATGGAGGCTTACACGTGAACTTTATATCTATCAACGGTAATATTAATACTAACTTAATACTGCGAAACGCAGGGCGTCGTTACATGCGTCGTACAGATAATCGGCCCTTTCGCTGGCTTCATCCTTCTTATTGACCTTTCGCTCTTGGTCAGTCGCCACAGTTGTGTTGAGGGTCGCCTGACTCAAAGTCTTCAAGATACTGTTCCAGGGATTGCTTTCGGCGATTATATAAGAGCTCTTTGAATGCTTTGGCCGCTCTGTTGAACCTAGTTTTGTCCCTGGGGTTGCGAGAATTATGCCACACTCAGTAACCTGAGCTGCAACCTCGGGAGTCCAAAGGTGGACTCTATGAGCGACGCTGTAGAAGGGTCGGCTTGGGGGTGTGGTATGCGACGCAGCGTTGTGCTTTTCAACGTTGAGATATTTAACAACTTCGTCGAAATCGTCTCCAGTTGCAATCTCAACCTTTGGGTCCGAATTGCTCTGCAGCCAGTGCTGGTAGCGTTCGATGCTGGCTGGTATGTCTGACAGCGCACTGGCCAAACACAGCTCGATCACGTTGCTGGTGACGATCTTATGCCTTGCGATCCCTTTAGAAACAGCAATATATGTAGGCTCACCGGTGAAACGGCAGTCAAGTTTGCTGTCAGTTATACACTTATAGAGGGCTCTGCCTTTGGGATTGATAAAGCGGAAACCCCATAATATGTGGCCAGAACTTAACTAATTTCACACTATGTACTTCTCTCTTATTACTACTTCTCGCCTTCCTTTGCTTGTAACGACACCCTGTGACCATCAGCAAGGCTTCGTTACAAGTTTAGCACATAAGAGAAAAAATGTTTGTAGTAATAAGACGACAGGCGGGAATTTGGCGTTACTTCTTAATTTGGCCAAGGAGGAAAATCCATTTTTGAATTCTGCATTAAAAAAATTAAACAAACTTGCACAGCGTACACACATAAGGCATTTTTGCGCAAAATTTGGTTTCTCTAGTTCTTATAGTCACTGAGATCCAGGTGTTCATACGAACAGATAGACAGACAGACATAGATTTATACTTTGTGCATCGCCTCCTTCTGCCTGTTACATTTTTCAGCACGCGCAAACCTAATATACTCTAGTACATTTCATGTGCAGAGTATAACCAGCAGTGACGAAATTCAGCTGCGATGCAGAGTCCTGACATTTAGTGCTTGCTACGAACATGCCGTATAGAAAAGAATGCGAACGTCGAATGTTTCTGTATGGCGAATGCAGGATCAGACTGCAAACTGTTTGAAGCTGAATCTTCACAATGTCCTGACCTGCGCTGCTGCCCGGAATAGTCCTTACGAAGACAGTTGAGGCAGATGTGCAGTCGGTTTTCCTTCTTCTTCATATTTAGAAATCTTGTTCAATTGGTTACATTATCGACCTTAACAAAATATACAAAGTGGATGTGTACAAGTATTGTTAGCTGATTCAACAAATGTGTTACGACTCGATTTAATTGAGCTTTTGTCCACCTTTAGGGTAGGTGTCTTTAAGGTGTCGCTTACCAAATTTTCAATCATCCGTAAACTCTTCTTCAGAAATTTCGACAGCCCATCTTTGCAGTTTACCCAGGAGCACGGCGTCCTCCTACATTTTGTGCGTTAATTTGTAAGCTATCAAAAAGCTCATGTACCGGAGATATTAATTGATTCCGTCGCTAAGTCATTATAAGTACAAGTATAACCCCATAATTCAACGTCCAAAAGATTAACATGAAAGGAATGCTAAAGTCGAGTATATGAGTATACGAAAATAACTTTCTTTCTGATCACCCTATCATAATGAAACTACGGTTTACGAATATATAATCACTAACTGGATGTGTCTACCAAATTTTAGTTCAAAATTTCAAGAATTACGGGAGTTATAGAAAATCACGAATAGTGGGTGAGTGGGGGGTGCATCGGGAAAAATGAACAAACTCGTCATTTCTCGGGCTCAGGAGAATTTGTATACCAAGTTTGTTTAATCTAGCTCTTATACATTCTGAGATCCTTGCGTTCATACAGACAGACGGGCATGGCTATATCGACTTGGCTTGTCATGCTGATCAAGAATATATATACTTTGTGGGGTCTGCCACGCCTCCTTCTGTCTGTTGCATTTTCAGCTCCCGCAAACCTAATATACCCTTGTACATTTCATGTACAGAGTATAAAAATAAACTAAACTAACGAAAATAAATACACCTTTCACTATGAACAACTATCAGCCTGCTCGCAACGCAAGCAATTCGCGTTCAGTTTCGGTTTCGTCTCAGCGCTTACTATGTTTGTACCCTAACGCTTTTTCGTAATTTACTTCAGGAAGCTCTAGCAAACGTATTGTGCCGAAGGCGGCTCCATCTAAACACGGGCTCAGATGTTGGAACTTTTCCGACAAGTCCGGCCAATCAATGCAGGCGCTGGCAAATCATGGGTGCTGTAACTCAGACAGTGCATTTAATTTCGTACATAGTATATTTGCTTTGCACGTGTGACAGGGTCAATGTATAAATTTCAGTCAGCTGTTCTATGAGCTTTTTATTTGGTGGAAAACAATCCGCTACAACTTGTTCAGTTAAAAGCTCTTTGTTTATTTCGAACAATTAAATTCAAAATTGACAGCGTACTCGAATCATAACATTTAAAGTATTTTTTAATTGATTTTTATTGAATGCAACTATTACATCGACGCTCTGTATAATTTTCCAATTAATAATTTTCGATAGATAACTTTTAATTTTCTACAACATATGCAATGCTTTATTTTTGGATTCAAAAAGCAACGGCTACAAAATTACATGTATCGCCGTTTTCATTAGACTGATTTAATCATCCAATGATCTTAAATATAGAATTAAACTAGAAGGTTTATATTAGGTTTATTTTTGAATAAGCTTTGTTCCACTTTTTTTTTCGGCTAGTCTCAGCACTTTTTGTCATAACTATCTGATCCGAATTGGTCAACAACATCATTATTAATATTTCCTTGTCCTACAAAAGTTCCAAGTCGTTGTTCTAGTAAAGATAAACGTTTGAGTGCATCATTGTTCTGTTTGCTCAAATTTATTACAAGATTTCTCAACTCCTTTGTTTCAGCTTCATATAATGACATTCTATTTAAAATTTCATCTATACCACCAGTGCTCCACGAAGTTTCACCAATCTGGAATGAAAATCAAGTACAAAATTTATTAAAAACTATGATACTATTAATACGAAATAATTATGGTAAAACATTTTCTGATCAATTTGTTCTAATGGAGAAGCTAAAGTCGGATGTCCTGACTTTGAAATACTCTGTACATACATATGTGTAGATTAATTATGCGTGTATGTGTGTGTTTGTGTGTGCTGTGTATGTCTCCTGTGCCTGTGCAAAGCAGAAACAACAACAACAGCTGCGGGCACTGCTTGGTAGTACATACATATAAGGCTATAACTTCCTGTTAAATCGCCATATAAAAAAATAAAACAAACTCTTGGACATTTCATGTACAGAGTATAAAAAATAATAATTTAAAAAACGTAATTAATTAATTTAATTAAATAAAAATTATTTACATCAGTGTTTGTGTACTTATACATTTGTATGTGTGCATTACATAATTATATCAAAGCAGCAACCACAGCTGCGGGTAAAGCTTGGGCAGAGAATATATTTATCGCTATAACTTCCTTCATAATTGACCTAGGGCTTAAGGGAACCTGGATACCAACTTTGGTAATTCTTGCTTTTGAATCTTCTAAGATCCTTTCGTTCATACAGACGGACGTGGCTATATCGACTCTTGACACACTGATCAATAATATATAATACTTGGAAACTGTGAACCACCCATAACATAGAGAGGAGAACATAACATATTGAGAAGTCCCTGGAGACACTCACTCAAAAAGTAAATGTCGCTTCCGTTTAGTTCTGCAGACCCTCAAAAACAACAAGCTAAACAAGCGGATGAAGCCATTCTGGAATGAAAACGGCTTTGTAATTTTGTGAATGAGGTGAAGAAAGCCAAACAGCGAGACTGAGGAAGGTGCCCCGAGCCAGCCAGCTAGTCCTGTTTTTGCGCATAGCAGGCAAATGCAGTCAAGTACAGCGGAAAGATTACAAGACTCACCTCATTCCTGCTCAAAACATTGAAAACTCGGATGCTCACAAAATAGAAGGCCTTAACCCGCCTATAGAACCAGAGCGCCTATAGAGCGTTCCTACAAATATCCATCGCATCAAGCGTCACCATCTGGGTTAAAAAGGCAAGAAGGGCACTTTAAGCACCGCAGAATATGCTGGGTATTGCTTGAATCATTGTCTCAGTGTTGAGACCGATATTGCTACACGAGGTACTGGTGTGGTGGCACGCCATACCCAAAAATCGACAAGGCTTAAACGGATAAAAACGATTGCTAAAAATTGTCCTGGCCAACAAGGATGCTGTAGATAGGCAAGTCGAAAAAACAAAATGAAATGGGAGACAAGGAATAAGACAAAACAAGGAACACTGTTTGTCCAGACAGATACAGAAAACATACCCACATTAGCAGATGGAAGCAATATGCAAATATTAAAGCTGTTAAGCTGTAGGAAAACACTTCAACTGTAAAATCGTAAGCACCATAAACTCACCCAATTTCACCAGAGAGTAATGCATTTATAACAGGCCTACTACTGCCTGGAAGCTGGCCAAGCCAAGAAGATGAGCTTCATAACGTATGGCAAAAGGGTATACTAGTTTAAAGCGAGCACACATGAAACATACTGAAAAAGGCGCGGTAATCGGTTACAAGTACATATATTCTTGATCCGAATGACAAGACGAGTCGATAAAGAAATGTCCGTTTGTCCTTCCGCCAGTATGCACACAAGTATCCCAGAAAGTATAAAAGGTAGGAAATTTGGTATCCAAATTCTCCTAAAACCGAGGATGTACAAGTTTTGAGTATTTTGCTGAATTTTGTACATTTTAAAATTACACCCAGCCAATTAGCTTTTGTGATTATCTTACTTGTATGATATATCAATTGTTAAGAAAGTTTTATACAACGGTGTACTAAAGAAAGTTGACAATACATTGTACAATTATAAAACTGGTTATTTCTGCAAACTTATAGAAGTAACGGTATTCATTACATTTTTAAGAGAGAGTAGATATTAAAATCTTTGAATAAAAAAAATATTGCACTGATAATTAGATAATTTCTAGAATTAAAAGCTGTACAATTTGGCAAAGTTATTTGGTCAACTTATGCAACTGCATAATATTTAAATGAGCATACACACATGTATATTTACATATATAATAACTAGCAGATCTGGCCCGTCTTTGCTGGGCTAACTAAATGTGCTTATAATTATAAGTTTATTTACTATATGATATTCTTCTTTCGAAGCTCTCTAAAGATTTTTAAAGAGTTTATTTTCCAATACATAGTACAATAAGTACTATATACGTACATACATACATATGTACATATCTTCGTTACGCACCGGGCGGAATGCCAGTCCTGACTTAACTGTGTGCTTCCTCAGCACGTTGTACGCACGGTCGAGTTATCCCCGAAAAGTCCGACGCGGGACATTTAATTTTGATTTATAAATCGGGACGTCCCGCCAAAATTGGAGCGTTCGGCAACGCTGATATGTACATACATGTGCTAGAGCATCAAAACTATCGATAGTTGAATCCGTCGATACAATCAATAATTCCATCGAAGTTTGAATTCAATTAACAGAAAATTTGAATAATAACATTTTATAATTTATTGAGATCAATTAGAACAAATCATATACAAACATACATACATATGTACACCTGCACGCAACGCGGTTTCTGCTTTACTTACGCAGTCGTTGCCTAGCGACGGTAACTGTAAACTTTTGGCATTTTGCCTTTGAAATTAACAGGCGTAAATGATCAAAACGAAAGAAGCGCGAGCCAATGACTTGCAGTTGTTGTTATTTTTCGTTTTAAAAATTTGATTTAAAACCATAGAACATTATTTATTACAATCAAACAACAGTGCTCGATTGTCCAATCTATATATATAAAACAGTTTGTCCTGACTGACTGACTGACTGACTGACTGACTGATTGGCAATCAACGCACAGCCCAAACGGTAAGAGCTAGGAAGCTGAAATTTGGACACAAGATCCCTCTTATAGTGAAAGTGAGCACTAAGAAGGGGTTTCGGAAAATTCGAGCTCCAAAGGGGGGAAAACGAGCTCCAACGGTTGTATGAAAAATCTACAATTTTTATCCGATTAACTTGAAACTTAGTTTGTATACTCTCAAAAAGAATACAAGAAAAACTGTATACTTGGTTTTTCACCATTTTTTCTGGGGCATGAAAAAGGGGGGGTTTTCCGTGGAAAAATTGAAACACAATCAACACCCCACAGCCCAAACGGTAAAAGCTAGGAAACTGAAAACTGGGCTCAAGTATCCTATCATGGTGTAGATGCGCACTAAGAAGGGATTTTGGAAAATTCGAGCTCCAAAGGGGGGAAAAGTAGCTCCAAAGTTTGTTTGAAAATTCTGCATTTCTGAATCGATCAACTTTAAATTTGGTTTTTATAATCTATAAAAGAATACAAACAAAACTGCATACTCGGTTTTTCGAAATTTGTGTTGGAGCTTGAATTATTGGGGTTTTAATATTTATTCATTTTTTCAAATGAAAAGTTTGTGTTATAAATTTTGTCCGATCGATTTCAAATTTGGGTAATATAATCTACGTAACTAAAATTACAACTTTGCATTTAACGATTTTTAAAATATGCATTTTACAAATGCAGGCAGAACAAACAATACAAAATATCAAACAGTTGGGGACAACTAAGTATACATACACACACACATACATATGTATATACAAGCAGCTGTTCGTGTAGTAGCGTGCAAACGGTTGAAGTAGCCAAAGCAAAATGTAAGACACTAATGTGTGAATGTTCATTTGTACAAATGTATGTACATATATACATACATACATATGTATAAAAGTACATTCGTCTTGCACTGACAGGGCAAGAAATGTTAATTAATTAAAAATTATTAACATTATAACATAAACATTTTTATGTTATTTTTTCTTTGTTTAGTACATTTGGCATAAGGGATTTTAGGACAACGGACTACAAGGGCGTACGCAGGTTGGGCAGGGGGGACATTGCTCCCCTTAGAAAGAATTTCGCATTATGAATTACACCAGCACCATATGTATTACATACGTACATACATATATACATACGTCTGTATGTATAGTATGTACATATGTGCATCAATAAGTATGTATGTACGTACATACATTCTTATATACATATATAGGTTTGTATGTATGCAACATGTTTTTTACTTGCCATATATCAAATATCAAATAGTTGGGGACATCGCATACACACACTCACACATACATACAACAAGCAACAGTTCGTGTCTATGTGTGCCCATGCATACATACATATGTACATGCATATGCATGTATGCCTGTATATGTATGTAGCATGTACATACAAAACAACAACAATAACTTTAAGTTGTTGGCTCGCACATCTTCTTTCGTTTTGACCATTTAATGTTAATTGCAAAGGCAAAACGCCAAAAGTTTACAGTTACCGTCGCTAAGCAACGACTGCGTAAGCGATAGTAAAGCAGAAACCGAATAACGGAGCTACGCATATTCTGCTTCGCATTGCGGGCAGATGTATGTATGTATGATTTGTTCTTATTGATCTCAATAAATAATTAGATTTTATTATTTAAATATTCTGCTTATTGCATTCAAACTTCGATATTTTGATGGTATCGGTGGCTTCAACTATCGAAAGTTTTACTCTAGCAAATTGAGATGAGAATTGTCAGTGCTTTTTGATCGTGGCTCATCGCTGGACGGCATTGACACGAGTGCCGTGTTTCATATTCCGAGTTTGTGCGTGACCGTATTGACTCAATATGACACGAAAAGGCTCAAATGTGAATTTAAAATTAGGATATACCCTTATAATTATTCCTCCTTTTTTGCAAATCGTCTATCTTAAAACATTGCGTTATCTCTATATATAAAACAGTTTGTCCTGACTAATTGGTGATCAACGCACAGCCCAAACGGTAAAAGATGAAATTTGGACTCAAGTATCTTTTCATAGTATCCATCATAGTGTAGGAGCA